ACTACTTTTGACCCGAGCAGTTGCAAAGAGGTAATTTAGGATAGTGTTCATCGTGCGCTAAGCTCGGTCGGTGAGTTCTCCCCGATTTCAATTACCCACTCCAGTAATTCCATCATTCATTCCATTGCGCAGCAATAATTTCATTACAGACTTTCTCCATGGCACCGGCTGAGCGACAAAACACGGTGGAAGATTCTTAGGTTAGACAAAGGACGAATGAGAACTTTAAGAGCGCCAGCACCCGGAAAGTGCAGAGAAAGAATCATACAAGCCTCGCCGCAGGAGAATATTAGTACAGCAGACATGCTATTGCCATTTCCTTATTGATAGTTGGGGAAAAATGGGTATAATTTCGCGAGGAGCCTTAGGCATTTCAACTCGATTGACAATCATCCACCTCCCATCCAAATTTCTCCGTTAAAATAAAGGATAAAGCATTTGCCGTTGATCAATCCCTTTTTGGGATGCGGCACGCATTCTACTTCCATTTGTACATTCGTAGTGGCGTTTGAATGCGATGTGGCCTAATGACTTGCGGGGGCCAGCCGATGTTCAAGTCAGTGTTTTTATCCTCCCAGACAAGTCTGGTACCAATTAACCGACCCCGGAGGGATGGAAGGCTTGGTTGGCCCGGGCGACTCACGACCCAGGATTTGATCCCGGACCGCTCGCGTGGTAAGCGTGCCACTTGCCACTACACCACTTCCGCCCAAAAACAGCTCCCCGAAAAAGACTCGATTTCAACTTCGTGAAGGGCGTCAAAAAAATCTCGTTATCTAGGAAAATCAAACATTGTGGGAAAGATGAATGGCGTTGCTATTTCTTCCGCAGAAAGACTTGAGATCGCTCTTCCGTCTCTCCCTTTTCCAAGACTTTCCAAAAGGGTGTGTCCTTTAGCTCACAGATTGAAAGAATCAGACAAAGTCAGGACTGTACTTGGCAGTTTACCCTACTTGTTGCGTTCAGTACGGATTCTTCTACTTGACTGTTCATCATGATTCATAATACCCATGAATTACGTGTTTGCATTCTCACCACTTGTGAGTGTGTATGGAAATTTCTCCTAAATTTAACATGATTCCGGGTTTGGCTGGAAACTTGCCAATACAAGTAGTAAAACCTTGAGCACGAAAATCGCATTGGCTTCCGCAAAAATAGACAATTTCTTATCTGAGAACTTAACCTCTATTTGTTATTGTTGAGCTACAGTGGGATGGTTGGAGAATTTCGGTAAGAAGTGTTGAATCCAATGAAGGATGAGGATGATTCTCCTCGCTTTTTCTTCATTTCGAAAACTTACGGGAGGCTTTTCTTGCGCTCGTCGCGAAAGTCTTTTCAATAGAGATAATCTTCTGCCTCGGCAACGAAGATTCGAGGTAAACCGTACAGCATTCCTTCACTGATTGATACCTACCAGTGGTTTTTATTGAATTGTCGTCAAAGTTGTTTGGACCTACGAGGGGATCGGTCTCAAGTGTTTCTCGATTTTTCAGACTCTAACGAAGGCGAAGAGACTGGAACGTAAGCCTAATGAGCAATCTCGAAAACGAAAACAATTCACTTCAATTTTTTACTTGATTAGAGACTGCTCACGTTTTTCGCCCGACGAAATGCACACTCACACCTTCCTTTCCATCATTTTTGGTTCCACTCACAAACATACCTCAGGATCAAATGAATGTGGTTCTTCACAAGAGTATGAAACTATTGAGAAGCCGTGAATTAAGGAAAAGAATCTGTCGAAAACGCTCAATGCTAAGAGCTGCTGCCGTGACGTCGGCTTGCTCCCTCAAATGCCACTAAAACTGTAAATAAGAGTGGAATGCGTAGCGCATCAGAAAAGGGACCACTTCAGCAAGTGATTTCTGTTACTTTATGCGCTCAACATGTGCTGAGATACCTTAACGGAGTGGAATGGTGCCGCAACATCTGCTGGTAGAGGATCAAACCGTATTCAAGTCAACTAAACCCTCCATTTGTCCGAAACTGGTCGAAAGGTGCGACAACTATTCTGGAGGAAGAAACTGGTAGAACTTAAGGGTAGCGATCACGATGGCTGGATGGTGCTGCGGGCAGCTAAGGGCTTTAGTCCAGCAATGGTGTTCATTGACGGCATAAAACCACTCTGCCCTCCCCATCTTCATACTGCCTTCAAATCTATTATATCATCGCAGTTTCTCAGCGTTTAGAGATGACTGGCGCACTCCAAACGACTGATTACTGGCTAATGTTTTAAGTTTTCTCTGTAATCCCTCAAGGCGCATTGAAGGCATTGAAGGCCATGTATTCAGTGCTGTTCGCTTATGACTAGCTTTTATGTGCCATCAAGAAATAATGCGTAGGAAGCATCTCCAACGAATACCTGCAATTAGTCGTTGTCATGGCCAGCGAGACGGCCTTCAGCGAATGTCAAGGCTCTTCTCATCATCGCTGCGACATTTGTGATTCTTCTGCTGCACAGTTCTTTTCAAAAAATTTTCAATTCAACTTGGTGTTCTTCCTTCGATCACCTGCGCCGTTCAGTGAAGCAATTGCTTTGATAGCCAGCCTCAAGCTCTGCTGTGTGAAATGATATAAACAGAATGCGTGCAAACGTATTCCATCAGAGAGTATAAAAATATAGAAGAAAAAAATGTGACGAATAACGAATAGGAAGTATAGAAATTATGGGTACCAGGAAAAATTTGGTGATTATTTGACCATAATGGGGTGCGAATGAGTGCCCTGTCTCAAGAGAGTGCTCATTTGTGGTTCCAGATCATGCTCATCGCTAACATTTCGTTTCCTCCGTTAGCTCTATTCAATGTACAGCATGACCCTATATGAGCCAGAGACTTACCGATTCTATTTTTGAATTGAATGACCTCTGAAAAGAGGGCATGATGGTTCGAGTGGGCGGAGCCTGCTCACAACATCCGCCGTATAGTCACCTTGCCTAAAAATGAAAGCGAAATTCTACCAGTATTAAAAATTGATCAAAATAATCTTCATCGTGAATGGGTGTCGCTTTTGATGCAGTTTGTTTCTTCGACCACTTTGTTGAAATCGTCCGCATTTGCTTTTATATCGTTCACTTGGCAGCAAAGCCTTAACAGTGATAATACTCGCGTTCATCAGGGACTACTTCTGAGCTCTACTATGTAAAAATCCTTCTATTTATATAAAGCGCTAACTTTGGTGTGTCGGTTTGTATGTATGTGTGTGTGTATGTATGTATGTATGTGTGTCCGTCCGCAAAATGAAGTGAGTGAGAAGGAAGCTCATGGGATAAACAAACCGCTAACAAATCGGGTAGCTTACAGGATTTGAGATATCAATGTTTTGTAGCAGGATAGTTGTGATAACACTCTTAGGGCTATATAAACACCTGCTTAGCACACTTCCGTTCATTCCACATGGTGCTGCAGTGGCAGCTGGAGGGCAGTGGAGAGAGGAAGGGAGGATGAGGAAGGGAAGCGAAAAATCTACCGTCATATCATGATTGTGTCCCTTCTACTGTATGAAACACCATTGTGTTGCATACGCGTCACTTCCACGAGGTGTTGGTGTCACAGGAGGAAGGGACCATAGCGGAGGATAGAAAGCTTGCGCAGGAAAGGAAGGTCCCGGCGGTTGACGGGGGACTAATCTGGTAGTACTGAAACCAGGAGTAACATTCTTTGCGAATAGATCAGTGAGCGCAAATCCTCCCACGCATCTCTTCGTACGACTTTCATTTAGCCATGTATTTTTGTCCTCCTCTTCATCTTACTACTGCTCTTCGGCGCTTTTTTGCACAAAAAGCAGATGTTTGATTACTTAGGAGTAGCATTGAGCATACAGATGGCCTTTGCTGCTTATTCTCATTTTCCAATGTGTCTCAGTGGTGGCTTCTTCATCCAACGATTATCCATGGAGCTACGATTACGACACCATATCAAGGTAACCGATGATTTGCAAATGAACAGCCTGCCAGGGGCAAATAACGTGTTAATGAAGCATTTTAAGACGCTTTATGATTTGGGGCCCTCACAATACCGGACAATTTACCTTTTCGTACTTCCATCTCTCAAAAACTGAGGGCCGCGATACGAAATTTGTCTGTGACTGTGGATTTGGCTAGAAAGTTGCCGTCAGAGGTAATCAAAGCCGTAGAACACGATATCGCATTCGCTTAGTGGTTGAAGCCTTGTTGAACTGCACACGAGGTTGATATTGATAAGTTTTGGCTAACGTTTAGGCGAGTTCGCCTTCTTCGGAGCCTAAAAGGATGGAAGTCGAGTTTATGAGTATCCGACCAAAAATCTCTACACACTTGCTAGATCTTCGACACCACCTATCCATCACGCTAATCACAAGGGGAAGGAACACCACTTCCTTGACAGATTCACTGCACTAGCCAACTGAAAAGTAAAAACAGTAAAAAGGGCAAAAAGCAAGACGTTCGGGTGAACCGTAATTCAGGCATCAGTTGGAAAGCCAGCCTTTATATAGGGGGGCTAACTCCCGCCATAATTATCAAGCATTCCTGCCCTCTGGTTAATTTTTGATGCCCTGAGATGGACCCCCAGTTCATTTTTGGATTCCCGATATGGATCAAGAATGCCTCGAGGGCTTGCGCGCAGAAATTTGAGTCTCAGAAGTTCATTGAGAGTCGAATATGGCATTCGCTTAGCGCTAAAACTTCGTATGTAGTCCACGCCACGGGAGCGAATGTGATAGCGCCGGCGCCTGTGCGCGGCGCCAGCGTTTTCGCGCTAAACCGGTGTTATATTCGTGTTCTACGGGTCAAAATACCCTGAAACAACTTTCTAGCAAATCCTTAGTCATGGACAAATTTCGTTCAAAACCCGGCTCAGCTTTTGACGAGTGGGGCAAAAAATGCCTTTTAAATTTGACAGCACAGTCACAGGAAAAGGCAGCGCTTCAGAACAGGACTCTTCCTCTTCTTCTTAATTTCTCAGAGCAATGGCGGCAATGTTGCAGGGCCGCAAAACTGGGGTTTACTGTTCAAACCGTGGATGATGTGTCATAACGGGAAAATGCAGTCACCAATCGACATCCCCCCTGGTCGTTTGCTCTTTGATCCGAACATGAAGCCGATTCACATCGATAGAATCAGTGTAAGTCAGGAGACAAGCTTCTTAGCGAACTTGCGCTGTACTTTTGGTCAGAACGCTTGCAGGTGATGTCTGAGATGTTGAACACTGGCCAAATGCCACGCATTCGAATTGGCAACTCAGCTCGACGACCCAGTGCCAATCTGACTGGTGGACCGCTACACGGCTACAAGTACAGGTTTGTCGCTACTTTTCAAGAGGGCTGACGTACTTTGTGTGCCCACTGCCTCGTTATTAGAAGAAAACTAATAAAAGACCTCATAGTGGGGTCTCTAAGACGTAATTAGACCACGCATTAGTAATAACATAACTCTCAAAGTGCAGTTTTTCTTGCAGAATCCAACGGATAGATATCCATATTGGAAGAGGGGCAGTCAACGGTAGCGAGCACACCATCGATGGAAGGAGATTTCCCATGGAGGTGATCATCATGATTATTATAGTAGATATCGTGAAATAATCATATCGAGGCTTTGGCACATATTTCGGCTCACTACTGAAAGCCTTTAACTTCCCATAGAACCTCGAATTTATACACAAGTAAATCGGTAAAACTTAGAAGGTTGATAGCAACTGGATCACCGAAACTGCTACATGAACATGTCGGAGTTGTTGTGATCAACGTGGTAAAATGCATTTGTTAAAAAGTCTCCTTGCGCGCGATAACGACTTTCCAGATTACGATACGGCATCTCTCTTGCCAGGATCAACCGTCGTTGGACAGTCAACAAGGCGTGAAGGGGCGTTTTCGTGAGGGAGTACGAGTAGCGTACAATTATCATTATTAGGTACCGGATATCTTAATGTCGTTTTTCTGAGTTCAGGATGTTTCGGGGCCAATTACCATGGAAAATCAGTTTCTCAGAACGTTCTCTTTGCTTATTAATACTACGTAACATGTTGCTTATTAGTCCCTATTGTTACTTTACAATTTACCTCTCCCCCAATTTTTATACCTTTTTCTGAAAATTCCTGGGTTCATTGCGCAAATTCGTATGTGTGTACCAAATGCCATCAAAGTCGGGCTGGGAGCTACAGATCCGCCAACCAAACTAACATTGCTTTTGTTGGAAGGAATACTACCGTTTGGAATGCTCAACGGTTCTCCTCAGGTTTCCTAAAAGACAGTGAAGTTTTTGAAAGGATGCCGGCAATCGTCTTCAAAAAGATGGCCCTAGTTAAGCCAGCTGAGAAGGGGCTGCACCATTGTGTT